TTGCCGAAGCGAATTAAGGGGCAGAGAAGGCATTAAAAGTGTTCGCGATGGAAAGAACTTCCACAAGCTGGTAAAAAAGAACACTCTTAATGCATATTTAAGTTGCGTCCGCCAATCCATTCGCTTCGTCAAACCGTTCGCTTCGCCAAATTCATCCGCTTCGCAAGTGATAATACCGCAATGATACGTTGCAATGGTCTCGGTTGCGTTTAAACCGGCTAAAATGATGCCGCCGGAAAACACGACAACCCTAACGGCCTTGTCCCTGTGGAAAAACCCCACAGAAGCTGCACGCTTCCTAGGGTTGCCGTTAGTGGAACTTGACGACAACGACTGAGATACCAACCGTTCTGGGCGGGGTTGTTGTAGCCGCTACAACAACAACAACATGCCGCCGCACTAATTTTTGAAGCACTCCTCTGCAGACGAATCGTTCGTGTTGCCTATCGTTCGTGATACAGAATAAGGCTGCAGATGGAATTGTTCAGTACTCGCAACATTTGGGTGCTAATTTCAAGCTCGAAATTTAAGTGTTATTTTTTAGGAATAAGAGACTGATGCTCTTGTATTTTAACATTATACATATTTACATATAGTTACATATAAATATTCCATTATATATAAGATAGCTTTCATTTCCATACGTATATATATATGCATCTGAATTGATAATTTTTGTTCTGCGTACAAATTTTCTTGGTCAGCTATACACATAAGCGCCAATTTGATATCGGACCGTTTTTTTACGCTCTCTTCGCGTAGTACATCACATTCTTTAGTTAGAATTTTCACCTTGAAATTAGAAAATTTTAATGCCTCCGCGAGCGTGAATTGGACAAAATAACCTTTACCCATATCGACCAATACTAAGTCATCTGGGTTATTTACTTTAGCTTCCATAAATATATTGCCCCCAATATCTGCAAGGTGATAAAGATTATAGCAAAGGTGAAAAAGATCTTTGTAGAATTAATAGCTACTCATTTGTGTCTTAAAGGAACCATCTCATTCGGATTTTGGCAGCGAGCGTGCGTGGGTCGTGCGCGTCTTTTCTTATAGTTATTTGTGCGTGTACCGTTTTGACTTTTTGACTAGTTGGCTTTTGTGACCGCGTGTATCAAACTTAATTCGAGTATGTTTCGTTTTATAAAATAATTTAATCTGGGGAAGCATTCTTTTTGGATTGGTGAGTAGCCTTGGCATTTTGTGCACCTTTTCTCTGTGTTTTTTAAAAAAAAAGTTTTGTGGTAGAAGTTAGGGCAATTTTTCAAGTTGCCTGTTAGAAAAAAGAAAAAAGTGCCGCTAACGGCACTTAAAAAAGTAAAGGGCAGGATGGCGTCGCCGACTCCATGGTCGGTGGCGTCTAGGGATGACCAAAATGAGTATGAAAGTGACGAAATTGACTTTAAAAAACCTAAAATTGTTAGCAACGAAAGTGTTTCTGGATTTTATGAGCTTACTCCTGGTGGTGGGCTTGTAAAATTACAGGAGAAAAATGAAAATGTGCTTAGTGAAAAAATAACGGAACCTCAAGACAGTAATCGCATGGTTGTAGAAGCCGAAGCAGGGGACAGTAACTGTACTGTAAAGTCAAGTGCCTTAGATACAGCTAGTTCGAATAGCTTAAAAAAAGTACAGTTTGAGTCTGTGGTATACCCACAAAACTTTAAAGGGGAAATCTTTGTATTGGTTGACTCGTCAGCTAATACACTGATGGCCAACGAAAAAATGACGACTGGTTTGACCTTATTCGGTCAAATTAAGGATTTGCGAATAAAAGATATGGATTTGATAACTGCTATTGGCAGAACCCTATATAAAATTACTTTTAAAAATACTTTTGCGGCTAACAATTTTGTTTGTGACAATCGAGTAATCAAAAGAAATCTAAGGCCTTGGAACCACCTTGGAAATCTATGGTGTGGTAAGGGGTATACCCACGTGTTTTGATGAAACTGAGATAAAGAATGAAGCTAGGTCCGCGATTACGATACTTTCTGTTAGGCGTTTCACTAGAAAGGATGCTGTTAGTGACACTTATGTGCCCACAACTACAGTGAAGATAGGTTTTTCTGGTGATGATATACCTAAGTTCATCACTTACAATTATGCGAAGCTCCCGGTAGAATTTTATGTTCCCCCACTCAGACAATGTGACAACTGTGGTCGTATTGGCCACACGAAAATGTCATGCAAAAGCAAGCAAAGATGTCTCATGTGTGGAAAACCAGAATGTAGGGATTCGGAATGTAACACAAAAGTTTGCATTTTATGTGGAAATCATGGTCATTCGGCCAAAAATAAAGAGGCTTGTCCGCGTTGGGAAAAGGAACAGATGGTGAATCGCATCAAGACGGTGAAATAGTTATCGAGGAAGGAGGTGCTGGACCAATATTTTCCGAACAACAGATTTAGCATTTTGGAGGTTGATGATGTGGCGTTTCCACCTATCAAGTCACAAGGTAGTGAGGTAGCTGACAGAGATGAGAACATTAACAAGAATTTTACAAGGAGATTATACAGCCACACTGCCAGAAGGGGTGCGGCTTTTTCACCTTCTCCACAAACTAAAGAATTACCTAGGCGTACAAGAACTAAAAATCCATTTAACCCTGTTTTTAACACCCCTGAATATCAAAAGGGACTTGTATCTGAGTTTGAGCGGCTTATAACGGAACTAATTAGGATTACTCAAAAAATTTCTATAGAAAACAATAACACTGAGGTTTTTAATGATATTCAATCCTTAAAAAGTCAATTTGAGGTCATAATTGCCAATAGAGACGAGACAGTGATCAGTGGATCATACAACCCCTTTTCGCAAGATGAAGATTCTCCAGTATAACTGTCAATCCCTTCGAGCCAACTTAGATTCAATAGAATATTA